TTATTTGCCAAATACACAGATATTTCAAAGACTTTTTGATTCAATACATGTACTGCTTAATACAGCATCTGTTTGTACAAGAATAGAGTTCAACATAAGCCTAAATAGCAATGACGTAAATAAACATGACAATATAGCATTGTGACTACATAAAAAGAGCTTTCCCTGTTATGAAAAACAGATTTGTGAGCATTAGTGGGACTGAAGGTGTGAGAATAAACACGTGATCACTGTCATGCCGTGGATTCGGCCAATCGAGGATCAATTGAGTCGTCATCAGAGCTTGTGAGTCACTCTGGAGAAACTGCTCTGGCTGAGTCCTGCTCTCGAATCGCAAGAATAGAGAATATAAAGATGATTTAAAGAAGGAGGAGAGAATGTAAAGGGGATGAAACGAGGGAGAAGAGAATGTAAAGAGGGAGGAGAGAATGTTAAGGGATGAAAAGAGGGAGGAGAGAATGTAAAGGGGATGAAACGAGGGAGGAGAGAATGTAAAGGGGATGAAAAGAGAGAGGAGAGAATTTAAAGAGAATGTAAAGAGGGAGGAGAGAATTTAAAGAGAATGTAAAGAGGGAGGAGAGAATGTAAAGAGGGAGGAGAGAATGTAAAGAGAATGTAAAGAGGGAGGAGAGAATGTAAAGGGATGAAACGAGGGAGGAGAGAATGTAAAGAGAATGTAAAGAGAGAGGAGAGAATTTAAAGAGAATGTAAAGAGGGAGGAGAGAATGTAAAGAGAATGTAAAGAGAGAGGAGAGAATTTAAAGAGAATGTAAAGAGGGAGGAGAGAATGTAAAGGGGATGAAAAGAGAGAGGAGAGAATTTAAAGAGAATGTAAAGAGAGAGGAGAGAATTTAAAGAGAATGTAAAGAGGGAGGAGAGAATGTAAAGGGGATGTAAAGAGGGAGGAGAGAATTTAAAGAGGGAGGAGAGAATGTAAAGGGATGAAAAGAGAGAGGAGAGAATTTAAAGAGAATGTAAAGAGGGAGGAGAGAATGTAAAGGGGATGTAAAGAGGGAGGAGTGGTTTATGCTTGTTTAACTTGTTGGACAGCGCTGCACAGACTGATTAGCGGCTGGCTTGAGCAGTGCATAACGGTAAGAACACTCACAAGCTCTGATGACGACTCAATTGATCCTCGATTGGCCGAATCCACGGCATGACAGTGATCACGTGTTTATTCTCACACCTTCAGTCCCACTAATGCTCACAAATCTGTTTACATAAAAAGAGCTTTCCCTGTTATGAAAGTCACAATGTTATATTGTCATGTTTATTTACGTCATTGCTATTTAGGCTTATGTTGAACTCTATTCTTGTACAAACAGATGCTGTATTAAGCAGTACATTAATCAAATGTACAAAATCAAAATATATCTGAAATATCTGTGTATTTGGTAAATAATACATTTATTTCAAAGTATGCAAACACTGCCTGAGCGTCACTACGGGAAGCAGAAAGTGTCAGACTTGCGTCTCAGTTCTCAGCTCCTCCCGCCTCCACACGGCAACTCTGACCGATCGGTTACATCCAGCCACAGCATATGTCCAACACAGATAATGCAAAGGATGAAAGAGGGAGGAGTGAAGGTAAAGAGGATGAAAAGAGGGAGGAGAGAAGGTAATGAGATAGGAGTGACTGTAAAGGAGTAAATGTAAATGAGGAAGTAGTGAGATTTTGATGAAGGGTGGATGGAGGAAGTACAGAGTTGGACACTGAGAATCATTCCCACCTCCAAGTTAATTGATTTTTGTTTAATTGATTTCCTTTTGAATCTTTTTGAATATCTGTCTTTAACTGCGATGTGTACTTTCAACACAATGTGTTCAAATCTGTTAATATTAAAGAGTCATTTAATTGGACTGTGTGTCTCTCGAGTCCCCAAAGAGTCATTCAATTGGGAGTGTGTGTGTCTCGCGAGTCCCCAAAGAGTCATTTAATCGGAGTGTGTGTCTCGCGAGTCCCCAAAGAGTCATTCAATTGGGAGTGTGTGTGTCACTCGAGTCCCCAAAGAGTCATTTAATTGGACTGTGTGTCTCTCGAGTCCCCAAAGAGTCATTCAATTGGGAGTGTGTGTGTCACTCGAGTCCCCAAAGAGTCATTTAATCGGAGTGTGTGTCTCGCGAGTCCCCAAAGAGTCATTTAATCGGAGTGTGTCACTCGAGTCCCCAAAGAGTCATTCAATTGGGAGTGTGTGTGTCACTCGAGTCCCCAAAGAGTCATTTAATCGGAGTGTGTGTGTCACTCGAGTCCCCAAACAGTCATTTAATCGGAGTGTGTGTGTGTCACTCGAGTCCCCAAAGAGTCATTTAATCGGAGTGTGTGTGTCTCGCGAGTCCCCAAAGAGTCATTCAATTGGGAGTGTGTGTGTCGCTCGAGTCCCCAAAGAGTCATTTAATCGGAGTGTGTGTGTCTCGAGTCCCCAAAGAGTCATTTAATCGGAGTGTGTGTGTCTCGCGAGTCCCCAAAGAGTCATTTAATCGGAGTGTGTGTGTCACTCGAGTCCCCAAAGAGTCATTTAATCGGAGTGTGTGTGTCACTCGAGTCCCCAAAGAGTCATTTAATCGGAGTGTGTGTGTCACTCGAGTCCCCAAAGAGTCATTTAATCGGAGTGTGTGTGTCACTCGAGTCCCCAAAGAGTCATTTAATCGGAGTGTGTGTGTCACTCGAGTCCCCAAAGAGTCATTTAATCGGAGTGTGTGTGTCACTCGAGTCCCCAAAGAGTCATTTAATCGGAGTGTGTGTGTCACTCGAGTCCCCAAAGAGTCATTTAATCGGAGTGTGTGTGTCACTCGAGTCCCCAAAGAGTCATTTAATTAGAGTCTGTGTTTTTTTTTTTTTTTGGACAATTACTACACTTAACAGAAGAACATGACTAATGTCATGGGAGGTGATTCTGGTGAGGAAAAATAAAAACGTTTTTTGATGATGATTATTTTGCAGTATATATGTTTGCGTGCCGTGTGCTTGGCTGCTTGTAAAATTATATATGAATCCTTTTTATGATTTTTATGATCATATATCATTTTACAAAACTTATTTGTGCATGTGGTCCTACGCTCGCGATTTCAGTCACAACACCGCAATCAGAGGACGCTGAAACATCAACTGTCGATGCTGTTTTCTTCCTTCATAACTCATACTGAGAAGGCTAGGCTATATTTGTGTAAATATAACTGTGCAAACTTTGTTTTGAAGTTTAATGTTTATTTCACCTGTTCAACCACATCAAAGTTTTGTAATTAGTAAGTCTGCTTTTTCTTTTTTTTTCTTGTGAACTGACTGAAGAGGGGCTGCTGTACCTTGGTGAAATGGTGTTATTATTATCGTGGCAGGCAATCATAAAATAAAGCTTATTGCATAAAAACACAAACAAAAAAAACTTTTTACTGTGAGGAACGGACCTCAGGGTCAAGCTTGGGCTTAAAGTATAACCGTAATGTTCAGGTCAGGTTAAATGATTTCGGGTATGGGCCGGGTTTGGGCTTAAGTTTAAAGCCTGTGCAGACCTTTACTTCAGGCAAATAACATAACTTGCAAATTTCAACAATTCTGAAAAGACAATGTTCCGTCTTTTGTTCTCTGATAGTCAATCAATCAAAAACAGTCAAATCAGTAATATTTCTGAATGTTAATTGTCATTCCCCAACTGAGCAGCCAAAGACCCTTGATCTCAAGATACAATTAGGGCTGCTCGATTATGGAAAAAATCATCAGGTCACGTGCGCTCGCGCTGCAGTGGTCGTGCAGACAAAGATCGCGTCAGCTCGAGATGGTCTCACTCCATTAGATATTAAATTAGCCAATTGTTATTGTGAAGTTTATTGTGCTTGCAATTGATGACTGTAGGCTGAGCGAGTTTATGGCTTCGGGAAGGGCGGATGTGCGCGTCATTCAGAACACAAAATTATAGTGTCCTTTCAAAACAGAACGTGGATGGCAAAATAATCGTTTTTTCTCGATTGTGCTATTTTGGAGATCGTTGGGAACCAAAATCAAAATTGAAATCGAAATTTGATTAATTGCACAGCCCTAGATACAATTCAGACAAAAATGTTGGCTACCCATTTACAATGATCTTGACGAAATGAAAAACAAAACAAAAAACAGTTTACTCACTAAATAAAATATAATATCTCAACATAGTCCTGATATTATACCTTAACCAGAGTTTGTGTATCACCATGGTCCTCAAAGTATGACTTGACCAGAGTTTGTGTATCACCATGGTCCTCAAAGTATGACTTGACCAGAGTTTGTGTTTAATGTCCCCAAAATGGACATAAAAAATACTGTCCCCAAAGTGAAGGCAAAATGTCAGGTCTTTAAGGAAGGCTTTTATTGATAAAATCAAGTGATAAGTGTGATGACAGCTTCTCCAGGAGTGCAGTCATGTTTTTCTTTTGTCTCTAGACCCTTCAGAAAGGGGTGTCCCTAAAGGTAGGGTTCCCAGTCATACGTCCTCACATTGTGGTTAAGTAGGTATGTGTGTGTGTGTGTGTGTGTGTGTGTGTGTGTGTGTGTGTGTGTGTGTGTATGGTCAGTTGTGCAAGAAACACTTGTTTTTTAATATTAAAAGTCAGCAGAAAGGTGAAGGGGATAGGAAACATTAAATTTGAAAAAAAGAAGAGCAGCAGCATTGGACTCCAGCACATGGGCTCCAGCCATATTGTCCATCTGCAGTTTTCATTTGGTGTGAGGGCTTCACGGCTAATTCAGACAGATTGCTGCTTACATACCCACTCATGAGGCGTGTCACATGACTTACAAACCAAACCCACAGCGCAGAAGAATGCAGGACGTCACCCACAAATACATATACAGGACGGTTACAATTACACAAGCTCAAATGAGAAATAAATCAGAACCATTGAAAAGTTTGACTTGAATTTACTGTCATAATAAATGAATGCTCAATTTATACAAATAATCCATCTTTCAATTAAATAACATAATCTTTGTTTTAAGCAAATGGGCCCAAAGAGTTTAAAAATAGTAACCTTGTGTGTATTAGGGCCGTTAAATAAACTAGCTTACGTCAAAAGTCTGATTGTTCCATATGTGAAGGTGATGAATCTTGAAATGAAATATGGGAACTGAAACCAAAGTAAAAGGGCAAAGCATTCCTATTTAAAGCTAATGTTTTAATGAGTAATTCATCACAGTATGAAGGGAACATCCTAGTGACAACTCACCTATGAAAAGCATGGAATGTTTTCTAGCAAACTTCAGACCCTCGTCTCGCTCTATCTCACGGTCTTCCTGCACAAAGAGAGAAAAATCCATCATTGTTTTTTATAAGATTTACAAATACAGGAAGGTTTTTTCCATGTCCATTATTAAATCCAGAATAACTACTACTTTTAGAAATGAAGCAGTCAGGCTTTAGGAATTGGGTACAAGCAGGTGTTTTAAAGAAATATATGGGAATATATAGAGAAATATATGACAATATGTTGAAAGTCTGTATTAGCTACATTAAAAAAAAACTAAAATGCATAAAGTGTAACTTGCCTTATCAATTTTGTTTCCCACAAGCATCTTGACAAGGTCATTTCTTGTACAGTATGTGTCCAGCTCATTCAACCAATTCTCCAGCTTAGAAAAAGTCTCCCGCCTAGAGACATCATACACTGAAAAGACAATATGACAACAACATTAAATAGGCGATAGTGAAGAACACATGAAATTAGATTTATGCATAAATGACAACATTTGACACCATTCCATTTAATCAGACTGTAATTGTGCTGGTTACATAAACACTTTGGATCAATATAAAGCAGTCTAAAGTTTTAATTGTATAGTTCATGCTTGCTTACCCAGAATGACACCCTGAGCTCCTCTGTAGTAACTGGGTGTTAAAGTTCGAAAACGTTCCTGACCTGCAGTGTCCTGTAAACATTAAACAAAATCAGCCTTCAAGTGAAATGCTGTTAAAAAAAGAAAAGGGTAGACTTCGATGGGGAATAAAGGAGGGAACAACACTGTCATCTTGTGGTATGTTAGTGAAGCACAGCCAACCGTTTGTACATGCATGTCCCATTCAGTAATGTCCAAACTAATACCTGTTTTCCTGGAGAATAAATGTCTAACTAACGAACAATCAAACATATTTAACCTAACCAAAACATAAATCGGTGCTCCTCTAAACTCATAAACATAGTTGACTACTCACCCATATTGCTAGCTTTGCTCTGTTTCCATCCACAGCCAGGGTTTTCACCTTAAAATCAACACCTTAATTGGAAAATCAATTTATCAGTTTAAAACACATTGAAAAAATGTTGTGTATGTGTGTGAAACAGACACATTATCAAATATGGACATTACTAAAACAATTCAAAATAAGGAAATACAGTCTAGATGCTTTATGAGGTTTATGGTAAAACCATACATATTTAGTGAGGCGGATCTAATTTTGATGGACCAAGATATTTGTCAGGCAACAAGCCCAGAGAGACTAAAGTTAGAAAGACCAGAATTTACAGTTGAATGGGGAATTGTGGGTTTATTGCATCCTGATAAAAAAGAAAATAGGACGACTCGACCACCTGTCTCATCACTCAACAAAGCCACATCACTTACAAACATAAGTGATTTACATTCATAAAAGAAAAATGAAAGTATGTGTAAAGTTGACAGGGGAATAAATCTCTCAGCGCTCTGTGAATGAAAGATCTGGAGGCATGAAATACTCCTGCATTTCAACACAGCACTGACAGATTTACCAGAGGAAGCCAAAGAAGGAGATCTGGACTGTGGTTTGGTTTGGATCGAACTGGGGGGCTTTGAAAAGAAAATGGCTGTCACACCACCAACACACGTCAACCTATGTGTCAAAGTGACGGCCACGGCTTTGGCAACTCATTCGTTTCCATGACATATAAGGTAAGAACCAGTAGATTATACATTGATCTTCATTGTAAAGACACTAGTGAAAAGTGTAGCTGGTAAACAGGATTTGACAAGCATAAATATACTTTTTTCAATATTTAAAGTTGTACTTTTAGTTCTAGATTTTCAACAATGCCAGCAAAGCTGTTTTTCAAGTAAGACCAGCAGAGACAAGACTTCACTTCAGAGGTTTAAACCTCTCTGTTTTTATGTGTGCTGGGCCTCTATCATCATTACCTTTTTTATAGTCATATGATTTAACACACTTACCAATTGTTGCACCAATTTCTGGATCAAACGTATCATCTGTAAATCTTAAAAGAAGACTGAAAGAGAGAGAAGAGGGGAAGTGAAATGTGGTTGGCAGCTTTGTGTATTACAAAAGAGACTACTTTTCTTCTTAATAAAACACATCCGGACCAGACATTTACAAAGTTGCCCACATCTGCATATATATGTTATGTGTGTAATGAGAATTTGAGAAGAATAGATCAATTCTTTAAATATTTACAAACATCCAGAGCCTAATTCTAGGTGAGATTGTTTTAATAAGCTACAGATCTAACGTTAAAGCTAGGTGAGATGGTTTTAATCAGCTAGAGATCTAAAACTAGGTGAGATGGTTTTAATAAGCTAGAGATCTAAAGCTAGGTTTTAATAAGCAGCTCGCGCAGTTTGTGAGTTATTGTTGTTGTTATTTTATTAGCTGACATCTGTAAACTTTAAGTCTCTTAAATCTCATACCTGGATTTGCCCACCCCGCTTTCTCCAATGATCAGTATTTTCAGAGTGGTCAAAATATCCTCATTCATCTTTACCGGAAAATTCCACTGCGTGCTAAATAATACTGTCGATGTAAATAAAATATTAAAATGGAAGGAGAAAACTACTATTCGAGGGCTAAACGTTTCTCTCTTCTTCGGTAAAATCACTCGATGGTGGTAAACATTTGAGAAACACAGTTCTGCCCTCTAGCGGAGTTTTCCATGTATTTGCAGATAGATATTCATACATTTGAGCATTGAAACTGTGCAGCCTTTCTGCTCAACCCGTAAAAGAATGGATCGATCCGTAAACATTTGTTGATTTTGAGTGTTTCAATGGTCTAGTGGTAGATATTTTGCCTATAGTGTCAGAGGTTACGGGTTCTTGGCACACTTTAGGCCCCTTAACATATAAACAAAATAATTCATGATCAGAGTCAGAGAGTGGCAGCCTCTTGAACCACCACCACCACATTCAGCTGGAAAACTTCTGCAGTCCCTAATTGGCCGAAATGCTCTGATCGACTTTTCTGCGATCATCTACTCTTCCCTGTGGATGACCTGTGACCTACAGTACTTTCTGTAAGACCCGAATTTTTGACATTGAATTTTAGAAAACTGAATTTGAAGATCCGAATTTTTTCAACTTGAAAACTTGAATCTGTATTGTTTTAAACTGAATATTTGCAGTATTTGAATTCAGAACAAAAAACTAACTGTTTGAAAATACATGTCTTTAAAATTCAGCCATAAAAACCTTTCAGTTTGATACATTTCAGAACTATTTCTATTTCACTAATTCAAATTCAGAACTATTTAAACTACCACCTAAAATTCAACTTTGTTAGATTACACTTGCAAATAATTCAAATTTACAAATTCTAATTATTTTGTCATATTAATAGCTCCATAAGTGAGGAGTTAAAATGTGCGAATTGTTTTTACACATATCGAAATAGGCAGATAAACATATGTTATGGTAAAAATAGTTATGTTCATGGTTTAATATGCGTACGCACAAGGTCGCCTGGTCTGATGAGTGTTGCCTGGTTGAAAAATGTTGCCTGGTCTGATGAGTCTCGATTTCTGTTGAGACATTCAGATGGTAGAGTCAGAATTTGGCATAAACAGAATGAGAACATGGATCCATCATGCCTTGTTACCACTGTGCAGGCTGGTGGTGGTGGTGGTGTAATGGTGTGGGGGATGTTTTCTTGGCACACTTTAGGCCACTTAGTGCCAATTGGGCATCGTTTAAATGCCACGGTCAACCTGAGCATTGTTTCTGACCATGTCCAACCCTTTATGGCCACCATGTACCCATCCTCTGATGGCTACCTCCAGCAGGATAATGCACCATGTCACAAAGCTCGAATCATTTCAAATTGGTTTCTTGAACATGACAATGAGTTCACTGTAATAAAATGGCCCCCACAGTCACCAGATCTCAACTCAATCGAGTATATTTGGGAAGTGGTGGACCGGGAGCTTCGTGCCCTGGATGCAGTGGTGGAATGTAACGAAGTACAAATACTTCGTTACTTTACTTAAGTACATTTTTCACGTATCTTTACTTTACTTTAAGTACAATAAATAGTGCCTACTTTTTACTTTTACTTCGTTACATTTTGCAGCAATATACTTTCTACTCCACTACATTTCTACAACTTCTGTTACATTTTCGTTACATTTTCTGATCAGTTTTTCCCCTGCCAAAACGTAATGTTCGTTGCACGTTTGTCTCACCAGTGACGTTTGGTTGCCATAGATACAGTATATCAACCCGGTCACACTAAATGCGTCAACACGCAGTGTGTTTATCATGCAACTCATACGCGAAAATTTGTTTTTACGTGCATAGGAAACACACCGTGTGTGTAATATATGTTTGGTTTGGTTAGGATTATGGCAAGCCAAGAGGTTCAGAATTACACCATAAATGAATCGCGTTTACTGCCAAACATAGTTATTAACATATAGTAAGGATAAGCATGATATTGCCTAATTGCAAACTTGTTTCAGAAATTGTGACATTTTTTTTCCATCATTATTTGAACATCATTATAGGAGTAGGCTATTAGGTTGAATGAGTTAGAATTAAATGTTTTATTAATCATTAGAAAATAGACATTAAGGTAATAAATTGTTATGCAAGTACTTTTACTTTTAATACTTAAAGTACATTTAAAATAAAGTACTTTTTACTTTTTACTTAAGTATGGTTGTCATTGTGTTACTTCTACTTTTACTAAAGTAAATATTTATCTGGGTATTTGTACTTTTACTTAAGTACTGAGATTCAGTACTTCCTCCACCACTGCCTGGATGTCTATCCCACAAATCTCCATCAGCCGCAAGATGCTATCCTATCAATATGGGCCAACATTTCTAAAGAATGCTTTCAGCACCTTGTTGAATCAATGCCACGCAGAATGAAGGCAGTTCTGACAGCGAAAGGGGGACAACACAATATTAGTATGGTGTTCCTAATAATCCTTTAGGTGAGTGTACATATTCAAAACTAGGCGTTTAAGCTTCATATATGATAATTTCGGGAAGGAGATGCATACACACAATCTACTAATTTTGTGCAGGTTCTGTGTCGTACACATGGATATTTAATAAATCTGAAAACTTTTGTGTATGCAAACTTTAGGATGAAATATGCGCACATGAGACACCAGGTCATTGGGACAGTAAATAGTTTCATAAATAGAAAAAATGTTGCCAGCTGTGGTATATCACGGCATTTACAGCAAATACACACATTGGTACATAATCACACACACGAGCACATTTTGAAAAGCAGTTTATTTCTATGTACAGTCCTTTTGTTGCCAAGTTGACAACAGTCATCAGCAAAATAAAACTAAGTAATACATAAGGTGCAAAACAAACAATTCAGTCTTTACTCCAACCCTCAAAGCAAAATGACATTTAAAGCAAAACTGTTCACATTCCACGTTACTTTATTTCTGCAAAGTGAGGCTGAAAGCGGACTCAACCTAAGAACAAGCAGTCGTGCAGAAAGATTGAAGCATCCCATCTACTTTGAACTGGAGACAAAGATAACTTCTAAAGAGATTTCTCTACATACCAAGGTTTCATCCAGAGCGGACTTTTACAAAATGACTGGATAAAGAAAAGCTCTAAAGACCTATGGGCCCCCAAGTAGAAAAAGTACAATTATATTTACACAGCACCCGCTTGTAGTGTGGCTTGAAAATATGTAGCCTCAAATCAAAAGCTGACCTTTACTGTAAATGTACCTTGAACATTAATATCTAAATTAAGCACCAAGACTCCATGATCTGGCTGAATTAGGAGTGAATGGTTTAAGCATTGCTTAAAAGCACCATTTTCAGTCTGTCAGGTGACTGGACTTTTGAGTGGTCAAAAGCAAAACATATCAGGATGCTATAGCCTAAACTTTTCATTGTTTTGTTCAAACAAACATTTGGTTTTTGGAAGCAAATAGATTATCTCTTGCACCTGCACATATAACAACTGAATGAAACTTAACATACTGTATGCACACTTACAGTGCATGTTTAACTGTCAGTGTATGACGCATTACAGTTTCATTGCAGTGGATACAGTGTGTTCGGTGGAGGGGAAGAGCTGTACTTTCAGACCCAGTTTCCAGAGCAGTCGGCCAACAGAGGACCACACCCTGGCCTGAGCTGCCCTGTTCCCCATGGGCTGTTGTTAACATAGCCAAAAGTTTGGCCTGACCACTGGATTGAAAATAATGGGCCAGACACAGAGGAGGAGGAGACGACGCTGGTAAAATACTTTCATACAGATTACACTTTTTCTGAAAAGAACAAGCTTTGAGTGATCACGTTATTTAATTTACATTTATAAGACATAGCTGCTCTCTACAACTAGTGTGAAGCCGATTGAAAGGCATTACTAAACATCAAGAGACAAACAAAAAAGCTTATATTTACTTAAACATTTACAAATAAATACTTGGAGATTTTGTCTTCCATTAATGGCTTCTTGTTGAAGAAATAAACAGACTTATAGACTTGTAAGTGATTACCAACTGAGACCAGTGAGCTTTGCGTGCATAATATTAAGATTTTAAGTTATGGACCATAATTTGACATGTTCTGTGTTCATTTCATGATAACAAAGAAATCTCTTCTGCTGCAAGGCTGCATTTATTTAATCCAAAACACAATAAAAACAGTATTATTAGGAAATGTTATTACCAGTGTTGGGTGTAACTAATTACTAAGTAATTAGTTACTGTAATTTAATTACTTTTCCCTTGAAAATGTAAAGTAAGGGATTACTCTTCATTTATCTATAATTTAATTACAGTTACTTCTGATGTAATTGAGGTAAATAGCTACTGTGTATCAATCTGATCTCGCAGCGATTCGTATGCATTTTATGAGGTGTCTAAATATTACAACCGCAGTCGTACAAATTCGTATGAATTATTTTAAAATATTTATGGAAAAAGTGTGAAATGTCATGAGATCAGACACAAAAAAATAGTGGGTTTAACATCAAAATATATTGTCTGATGTTAAAAAGTATGTTTTTATAATCAAACCTTCTCCTTGGTCAATTTAAGGATAATTCATGCAATTTTATAGTATTTATTTGAAAGAATTAAAACAGATTCATGCCTATCCTTGTATTATTCAGCTGGTTGAGATTGATATGGGATTTTGAAAGTAATTAGTAATTAAAAGTAGTTAAATACTTTTTAGAGAGAGTAATTAGTACAGTAATCTAATTACACTGTTGAAGAGGTAATTAGTAACTAGTAATTAATTACTTTTTTAGAGTAACTTACCCAACACTGGTTATTACAATGTAAAATAACTGTTTTCTATTTTAATATATTTTAAAGCTAAATTTCCAGCAGTCATTACTCCAGTCTTCAGTGTCACATGATCCTTCAGAAATCATTCTAATATACTTTAGATATAGTGCTAAATAAACTTTTCTTATTATAATCCATGTTGACTACTGTGGAAAGTGCTAAAAAAAAAATTGGATCGTTTTATAACATTATGAATATATTAACTGTCACGTTTGATCAATTGAATGCATCCTTGCTGAATAAAAGTATTAATTTCTTTAAAAGTAAAAACAAATATTGCTGACCTCAAGCTTTTGAACGGTATTGTTTTTTGTATTGTTATAGTTTACTACTGAAATTTG